GAGACACCTCAGCTGTGTACATACAACCCACCTAGCCACATTTGCCGATGGGAAACTAAACACACTTCCGCACACATCAATTTGCAACATAAACAAGAGTTCGAGACCTCTTGAAAGATGGATATAGAGATAGCAAATTAGTTATGTTTTTTAAAGATATCAAGTAAAATAAGCAATGTAAAATAACTTTCAGAGAGTGACATGGGCACACGACACTGCGCTGTCATGCAGTCATCCACCCGATTTCCGGTGTGTTGTGCCATGCCTGAAGAGGCGTCGGGCGGCGCACGTGTCCAAGTGCTGTTTCGAGCCCCTGGGGCTGAAAAGGATGGGTTTTTGCAGGTCATAAGGTGTGCTCCCATAAGACCATCCATGACCTGCAATAAGCGTCATAAGTTGGTCAGTTTTTGTAGGTTTTGGTTGGAGAAAGGCCTTACTAAGCATCATCTACTGTTACTGAGAATGGGATGTACTCTAGTTATGAAGATATGTCAGTTTCAGAAAGGCATAGAGGGTAATGAACCATCCTGGAAAGAGATTGTTTTCAAAAGTTTCAAGAGTGATCTGCACGGAATCTCCACATGGGGAGATGGTTTTCCGAGTTCCTAGTCGGGGTTTTGTTCAATTTGGTCCTCTAGTATTATTCCACCATCATCTACAAGCAGTGGCAGTGTGGAGCAAACTAAAAGCGGGTCAAACTGCATAGATCTTTTTAGAAGCACTTTGCACCTGAGGTTTCTGGAAAGGATATGTTGTACAATCTTCTTTGATTCTTCAGTAGCTGTGCTAAACTCGCCTAAATCAAACAATTCTTAGGACGCCAACACCTGAGGCTGCCAACAGCGAGAGCCGCACCGCCTGGGTCTCGGACATCTGCGAGGCGAGTCGCGTTAACTCGAGCGCGGGTCGCCAGCGAGTTGGAAATCCTTTGTAGTGCGATGTTGAACTTTTGCTGAGTCTGAACGAACGACTTTTGTTTGACAAAATTTTGCCTCAGTATGAGTATGTATGAGTCATTTTTCGTTGATAAGCTGGTCCTTTGAAAGAATAGTGAGATTTACTAGGTGGTTGATGGCTGGGGATGAAAGACAACAACCATCTCGGTAAAGACAAGAAACAGTAGACGTCGACGTCTTTTGCATTCGTTTGTTCAATGAGAATCTTCGTTGGCTCAGCCACTGGGCTTTAACCCCAAAATGAATGACTTGAAGACCACGGCTCCTCGGCCCTCGGCCAGGCCATTCGTCAAGCGCGAAGTGAAGCATCAGGACGGCGTGACGCCGTTGGATGCGTTTGCTGTTCAAACATGTTCAAACCAGCAAGCAGCGGGTGTGATTTTGGTTCAAAAGGGGTGTCTATTTGACCAAGGCCTAAAGCTGTGTCTTTTCTGGGGTTTTTATTTGTCTTTCACCCACACGGTGGGACCGGTCCAGATGTCCGGTGTCACCGAAGTGAGGTGAACATCGATCGCATGGCCAATAGGCGGAGTGGGTGAAACCCACACTCGGTCTCTGGGAATCGTCGAAGGTCTTCTGTGGTTCTGTGCCGTTTTTCTTAGGCGTCAGCAGACTGGTCATGTCAGACGTACTTGCCACCGTTCGTTCTCTGCGGCCCACAGACTTGTCGGACTGGGTTTCCAATTTGTTTCCCCTTATACAGTTGGACCCAATTCATCCCAAGCCATGAACGGCAAACTTGGAACTTGGCGCGGCGGAGACGCCAGGTCGCTAGTCTGACGGTACACCGCCCCTGGGCCCGGGCGAAGGGCCCATCTGGCGCTTTGGCTTTGCTTGCACACCTCGGAAGTGGTGGGGGCCGGATGTGGGTGGGTATGAAAACAGAGAGACCTCCCAAAAAAACGACCAGCATCCATTCAGCCAGGGGGTCTCCCTCTCAAAACACACACTCATGTGAAAAGTTTTTGTTGTAACCTATAGTGACCGCCAGAGAAGTTGAACCCTCAATCCAGTTCCACCACAAAATTCAACAATAGGGTTTCTTTCTGTCATGGTGCTTGCTGGTAGAATATGTTGTCGCAAGTGAATTTGTTCACTATATGACTCATAACCTCCAACCAAACTATTGTAATGACAACGTGATTCATGAAACTGTTGTGGAATACCTAAGGTTTTGTTGCATTCCTACTGTCAAGATCAATAAGAAGACTCCAAGACAATCAGGACATGACTGCCACTCTGTCCGACTGTTCAAACCCATCCACTTGTCACAACTGAAGCCGGTCCGAAGAATTTAAGCCAATCCATTCTGGGACCCACAGCTGGTTTGCAAGACATGCCGCCTTTGTCGAAAGCTATGCTCTGGACATGTGCCATTTGTTATGCGTTGCCAATTTCTTGGGATGTTGTGAGGACACGGTGTGGACGTTTTGGATGAAATGCCACTGTTTGCCTGTTGGTAAAGAGGGATCAACCAACTAGACCAGCCACATTTCCAGAGCTGTACATTCCTGGAATGTTGCATGAGCAGGAGTCAATAGCTAGTTGCCAGAGCCAAGTCGGCAGATTCCTACAAAGTGTGCATGTGTGGTGTTATTTGACCTTCACCTTCTGGAGTGGCTGTCAAAATTGTGTGTGTGTTTTTCATTGTTTGATGCTTCGGATGGCTAAAACCATCATGCAGACAATGCTGAGATATTAAACATTGATATATTGGAATCATTTGAGAGATGCTTTGCAATAATATCGCTATCGTTTTGCATAGGTGACGGTTGTTGTCATTGTGGCATTTCCACAAAGGCTGTTTGTGCCTGGCCCTAGCCCCGTGGCTGCTGCTTGTCTAACTTTGATCGCTTCAACCGTTAATAGCCAGCATTCGGAGCGAGAAGAAGGTGGAACCGAGGGAAGTTTCTTTGACTTGGAGCCACTTCTGAATGTAGGGGAGCCACTTGTGCTGAATTGGTCTTCCAGCATCCGACAGCACTTTTTGGAGCGACTTGTAGGGCTCTAGGAATTCTCCTGAGACCAACGAGCGTCTGGCTTCCATGACCCAGCACCAGCCTGCATAGATTGGTTCCTTTTGGGGTTTAAGGTCCTTGTGCCGGATGTGCACTAAATACATATTATTAACTACCAGATATGTTGAGCCACAAGGGACCTCAGGGCGCCTACTGTATGTACTTCTTTATCTTACATGTTCTTCTACAGCACCACATGGGCGGGCAATGGTGGATTATCAAGGATCTGTTGCTGCCCTGGGTGGCCAAGTAGACCAGAACCATGCGATAAAACCGTGTGCACGGAGCTCGGATGTCCATGGACCACGGCGGTGGCGTTTCTCCATCTCTCGCGACGCGATCTGGGCCGATTTGGGCCGAGTTGCCCGCCAAACGGCTGTTTTAGTCAGCTGCTTGCAGCCGCGAGTTGGGCTGATGGCTAGTGACTTGGATGGTTTATAGGTAAAGGCGTTGTGGGAGTACTCTTAGTTGAGGTTGAAGGTGTTTGAGTGTAGAGATTCAAGTGAAGTGCTGCGCTGGACTTTCACTCGTAGTGACTCTTTTCTGACGAATTTCACAGGTATCTCAGAGCCGTGATGTTTTGCTTCGAACACACAGAATACCATTATGAATATTGTCCATGTCTCGCCTAATTGATCCTCAAGTAACCTGAAAGCATTGATGAATTTCGTGTGATTCCTTGAACTCAAGTGAAGATTCAGAAAGCTTTGATGTTGATTACTCTTTGCAGGGGGAGTTCTTTGGGTGTTCTTTTTCGTAAAATGGCCAAGCATGACACGTGTTCTAGTAGAGTCACAGCCACTGGCCTGCAAGGTGCGCGCCCTATTGATAATGCAACAATACCGCTGAAAACAGAAGCGAAGCCGCTATACGACAAAAATCACTTTTGACCAGAGTCGATTCCTCTCCACGATCGGTTTCCTACACACTACATGCCATATTTACCCCTGGTGGGCTCTGGTTGACCTGGGGTCAAATGCTGGCATATGTTCCATGCGTGGAGCAGTCACATGTTGTTCAGATTGTACGTAACCTTTCACGACCTGAAGTGCAGCCATTCAACCTTTGATCATTTTCTTCCCGCCGAATCTACATTGTCGGATGTTGCAAAAGAAAAACACATTCGTGGCGTTCGCCTACTCGACATGATGTTCGCGTCCTGGGACAGGTAGACCGATGGACCTCTCACCTTGAACGTTCGTCCGAATGTTCTACCTTTTGTTACACATAGTCTTGGGTCACTGAAAAACTTAAGATGGTGTTGATTGTGCATCATGAATCAATGTGCTTGTGGAGATCATGAACCAAGTAGTATTTCGGATGAACACGGATAGGATAATGATTCTGAGCATGCTTGCCTCAACACAAAGGACCCAACTCTAAAGGCTCTTGGATTGATTTGTACCCAATGCATAGAAATGCACAAAAGAATACGAGCTGAAACAATGTGTACAGTCTTGTTATTTGGGATGTCAGATGCGCGTCGCAGTGAGTGCCGCTAGTGGTTCTCTTCTAGAAAAACAAGTGTGAGTTTCTGTGAGGGACCAGCTCTTTGATTTGCTCATCTTGCCTCGCTTGGAATGCCTTACACACAAGATAAATCAATCAAGTTGCTTAATGTTGCTTGTTCAGTAACGATGTTCTTTTGTGGCCTATTGTAGACCTAAGCAACAAGCCGAGAAAGCAACACCAAGCCGAGAAAACATAAGGCCTCAGACTTGTCAGATCCTCGCACTGCCCACTTGGTCCTTCCATGGGGATTCTAAGGACCGAGGGAAGACTTGGCTAAGCCTGTGGAGAACAGATATTCGATTTCCTGATGATTGCCTAGTGGCATATCAAAGATTAGATGGACATGGCTCAAATTAACAAACACTGATACATACAAATTGACCCTCAAACCAATGTAGGTTTATATGGCAGACACGGAGCATTTGGTATCTTAAGCTGCCTTCTCTGCGGAGGAAAAGCGTTTGCTCAATTCCGTCGGCCACCGTTGAGGAGCAGGCGCTCGGGGTTCGAGTGTGGTGTTTTCGCGGCAGAGCGCGCAGAACTTGTCCAAGAAAGGCCTTTACAGTTGCGGCGCATGCATATATAACATTATGCGTGACCTGGTGGATGGAAATCTGGCTTGGAAAGTGAATTAGGTTGTCATGAAGTTGACTGCGCTATGGCATGCTATGGCCATGTCTTTTTTGGGGGACGATGTTTATCATGGACCTGCTCAGCTTGCGTAGTCCTCACCGGTTTAGACTTCGTTCTTTCTGATGTGTTGAGGCTAAAGCCAGCTCTTGGACACCAAAGCCCCAACAAAAAGCTGGGTTCTTTCCCTTGTTGGTAGCGGGTTCGGAGACCCTGGGTTCGCGCAGCGCTCTCTCCCGCGGTTGGACGCCACGGGTCTACCCGTCATGGAGTCGGGGTATCAGCGGCTGGACGTGTCCGAGCACCGAAGATGTCGTTGTTCCAAGATGCAGAAGTTCGTTTGGCTGACAGGACCGGGGGTCTTTATCAGGGGGTTGACTCTTGAGGACCATAAACCCTCCCAAATTTTGTTTTTGGAAATCCTCTTTAGATGGTTCTACAATTAGGTCTAATTATTATAGGAGAGTCTACATTATATAGGGGGTTCTAGATGGGTTCGGTTCATGAAGGTGATTGGGATTGGTGATTGGATAGGGTCAGCCGCTCATTCTCTTAAAGATATAGTTGGATCCGCAGAAATGTTGTCTATTGAATGAAAGCTCAGGGGATCACACATGTCCCATGTCGAAAGATGAACATACGAGTCGTTTGAGTGCCAGCGATAGGATTTCTTCTTGCTCTTGCTTTGCATGTGGTAGTAGTACCTAGCAGCAGCACTTGGTTGTTGGCGGTCTACTATGCCTCAGTGGGCTTCGTGGTTGTTTGGACCATCTTGCTCTACCTGATGGAAAAGGCGGATGTACCAGACTTGACACCCATCGAATGCATCGTGCCCGAGAAGATTTGGTGTCGCGGGTACTTGGTGAACATCTCAGGCGCCAGCTGCTGCTTGGTCGAACACTTGGCCTTCAGGGTGTCCTTGGTGAAAAAGAAGTCTTCATGACTTTCATTGAACAAATATGAACAAATCAGTCCTGAGCCACGTGCCGGCCACTACGTGCAACCTGGAAGCTGCCCTATTTCGCGAGGCGATATGGTGCGTCACTATATACTGATATGTTGTATAAGAGGCCTAAACGCCCAGCCCGTCCTCAAGAGGGTTCTTCATGAGCTGAAACCACGTAGTTTCAACCCAAAGCCATGTGTTTGCCTATCTTTGCACGTGCCTCTGTGTCTCTTTTGTGTGGGGTATACACAGCTGTCATGGAAGTGGACCTTTGTGCAGGGCAGCGCAACGCATTGGAAGAATTACCCAGCACAATATTCAACAGCATGATTTGAAGTGAATCAACTGGAAAGTATTCATAGACTAACGGCTGACTTTAACAAGAAAACCAGGAAAAGGAGTATGTTTTGGTTCTGAGTAGGCTTGGTTTCCACAAGCCAGAGCTAGGCTACTCTCGAACGACCATTATTCACTTGAACGATGGCAGCTACTGCGTTCATTCGCCCTGTCCCTTGGATGATATTAGTGAACAATTCTTTCATGGCAGGACTGCCATGGCTCGAATGACAGGGCGTGCGTGAAATTGATGCTGTTCTGAGTCGGAAGATTTGTTCATCTTCACAATCGACATCTACATGAAACACTCGAGTGGACGATCTAATTAATTATAGTTATATAGTATATATGCGTTATTTTCTTAGTGAAGAACCCCCCCAACCGATCATCTCCACAGCACACATCACCACAAATCAAGCAAGATGACGCACCTTTTCCATGCTTGCATAGCATGCAAAGCCAAGAAAACTCCGCCGAGAGGACAGTCTCCTATTTGTTGGCGCCTGGGGATTGGCACCACTTCCACATTGCCGCTTGGGCCCAGCGCTTCCAGACTGCAAAGGTCTTGATTTGCCCTGGGGTGGAGAAGAAACAGTGCCGCGGTGCAAAGTAGTCGTCAGATGAGGAAAAACATGTGATTGTCCTACTTTGTTTACTTGATATGTTGTTGCAGAGTATTTTTGTTGACCGAATTCTCACCCGAAGGCTTCCGTGTTTTCACGCTGAATCAGACTTGGAGAATCTGAGGCCATTACTGAATCACAATGGCTTCATCCATGACTACATCGCCAGCGCTGGCAATGATGATGCCTTATCCAAGGAGTTCGAGGCAGTCTTTTCAGCCGGCTTCGATTTGATGCATGAGGTCGTGATGTATCACAAAGTAACGAGGCACTTGCTGTTGGTGGACTTAGTCGAACATATTGGTGATGACTATGTGGGCTACAACCGCTGCTTGCGGCTTTTCTGGTGCTTGTTCGGTATGTGGAACCAGGGCAAGCCAGCACCAGAGTATCAGTTTGGCGTCGGGAAGAAAGATGAGGTTCGTCGTTTCATGCGAGAGATTCTTGAAGGCGACTGGAAGATCGAAGGCATCATTTTGTCCCATGGGAATAACTTGCTCCATGTCACCAACGAGGAATCAAAGGAATTCCTCCGCGGCGCGTGGAAAGCGATGTTATGAGTGTTCAGAAACAAGACCGATCGATGATGCCTTTCGAGTTGTCGTGACAAATGGCTATGATGCTATATGTGTGATATCATGTTGGTTTCCAAACTCCAGGATGACTCTCACTATTACAATTGCATGTGTCCTTTTCAAAACGATGCCAGGCAGCCAAACCTGATATTATGAGCACGACAAGAACATGCGACAACATCACACTTGCAGCCGACATAACCAGTGAGCCTTGATGATTTGTGTGTTTGTTGTTTTCCGGAGGTCAAACATAGGCATATGGAGATGGGTCAACATTTGCAGCCCACTTCACTCTGGTAGGTTGACCATCCAGTTAATTCAACCAAGGTATCCTGAACCCACAGCCATATCATGCTCTTGTGCTTTCCCGGACGTCGACCTGAAAAACCTCCGGTCAAGTGCTCAACCCTCTGGGCCGTCTGAGCTGCCTCGCCAGGGTGTCGCATTGGCAAAGCACGTGCACGGGGGGTTGAAAAAAGAGAATTGCACACTGTGCGGTGGTTTGCTCCAAATAGAATCCGGATTATATACTCTAGGACCCCGCAAATTTGGGATTTCACATGTTTAGCAATTGATTCCATATCCAAATCCAAATGATGGGTCAGGTCTCAAGTTCCACATCTTTCACAGCAGATGAGGGCTGTCAAACACTTTGCTTCTGTGGGGGAATTGGCTTCTGTTGGAAGAACCGTTTGAGTCACATAGAAATTGTCTTGAGACTTGAGAGTCTAAGTAGTCCTGAGAGTCCTTTTCCCGCAGCGGGCGGACCACCCTCCTGAGACTCTTCAAGAGAGGGCTAAGCTGGCTAAGTGACGATACTGATTGGACTTGTCAGCTGTTGATCCACAACCAACAGGCAATCTCATCTACGAAGGAGTCAGCAATGTCTTCTCTGGCTTTTTTATGAGCTATTGGTTCAGTATACCTCTAAATTCCAAGACAAACCACCTATAATCACAATTATAATCACAATTGTACACATTACGACCACTACCCACTATATATTACACACCCACCTCGTAGTCTACATAGCCCTCCCACTACAGCTGCGAACCGTTCATCTATCTCCGCTCCACCGCTGAATGGCTTAGACATAGCCCCAACGGCCCCGCAGCCTCATCGCCCGCATCCGGTTTGCACGGATCATCGGAAGGTTGGGGCATGGAGAACCGAAATGCGCGGAGCCGCGCTTGAAGCGGCGCACGCCATGCCTTTGCATGCAATTTCAAGATGTTTCAATTATGGTCACTATGGGGGCCATCGCTAGCAGGTTGGAGGAGTAGGTTGGTGGCCATTATATTAGTAACCCAAAAGAGTTTTTTGGGGGGGTCCACTAAATTTGACTATCAGTTTCAAGGGATGAAGCACTGGTACATGGCTCAATCCCATTTTTGTTCCTATAGACTGTCGCTGCCCATGTCGTTGTGAGTCTTAAAGACGGACCAAAGATCCAGCTTGCTGGATAGAGGTAACCACTACTACTACTGGATAGAGAGTTAACCACTACTGTGGCATATGTGCCTTATGTCTCAACAATGCAACTGGCCCAACAAGGCTGGGATTCCTGTCATTTGAAGTTAGTGGAATAGTTTCTGTGGTTTCCTGTTGAGGTCATACGGGTTTCCTAGTTTCCTATGGTTTCTTTGGTATAGCAAGGGTTTCCACCAGCATGATCGTTTGGACAATCCCTGATGCGCAGGTGGCCAGGAATCATGGACCTAACAATGGGTGCATACGGAGGCCTGTGGCGTGCGACGTTTGCTCCGTGTTAGATTATGTCCTAACTGCATCCAATGCCTCCAAGAGCTACAGCTGCTGGTTGGTCTATTGGTCTGGTTTGCTTTATGGTACGTCATGCATAGTGGCTTCAAAGGTACAAACTGCTTGATGACAGTTCATATGTCATAACATTGGCTTGTAGTATTGTAGCAATTAGTCTATTCAAGATTTAGTGCCAAGAGCTTTCATCCTGCGACATGGCAAAGTAGGAGGGTCAGGGTTAGGATCCCCTCGGTTCTCCACAGACCTATGCACATGGCAAAGATGTTGCACATCGAGACCAGTGTGCACAGCTTGAAGTTTGCACAGTGAATAGTTCCAAAAGAGCTCCAATCTTTCTGTCGCCACGCTACTGTAGAGTAAAACTGAACAAATGTCACATGAACTTCCAATGCACTGCTTCTTGCAATGAGGAAGGCAGTCGGATGTGTCAATGATGCATTGAGTGCCCCCCCAACATTCTCCACTCATTAGATGCACTCGAGGGCGTCTTTGTTACAGGCGTTTTACATTATGTTAGGCCTTTGTGTTTCCCAAGAGAGTGCCCATGAAAACCCAGATGGCTCCCAATCATTCACTCTAAGATCCCTCAGAAAGTTTAGCAAAATCCCAGAGAAATGCTCAGCGCTCTTGTTGTTTTGGGTCGCAAAATTATTAAAACGAGCAAGACTGTACCCAAGGTTTTGGGTGGTAGTGGTGTGGGTTTAACTTGGGTAATTTGAGGTGAATGTTGGAGTTTGATTGTTTTTTTGTGGGTTATCTATGGGCCTGATGATTTCCCACACTGAACCCACCAAAACACCAAACAAACCTAACCAACTCCCAACCAAATCCCAAAAGTGGCTGGGACCAGAAATAAAATCCAATTGAAACCAACCTCAAACCGCAACTAAATCCCAAACATGGGCTGTGGACACCGTGGACACCGGAAACTCGTTTGGAGTCGATGACATCGGCAGCCCTGGAGGTGGAGTCTAGGCCTAGGCCCTAACAGATTTGTTAGATGTGGATATTATCCTAGGTTCCATACTATCACCTGTTATGATTTTCGGTTTGACATTCTCTTCGATGGATCACTCTATGGTTGATTTATCACTCTAAATCATTCCTTCATTTGAGACAGTCTGTGTTTTTTTTTTTTTAGTCAACGTTTCAGACTTATGGTGGATCTGTGAAAAAATGGGTGATGTTGTTTATGGAAAAGCATGCCTGTCAGGCATGAGATGTTCAGCGGTTATGACTATTTTTGCACACGTTTGTCCTATGACTTCATTGTTTCTGCCAACGGTGCTCGGCACTCACGGCACCGACGCAACCGATGTGCAGGTGTCAAGATGCCCGAGCCCCTTGACACTCCTCCGACCATGCCTGGTACTCCGACCGAGGAGATGATAAGATATCAAAGAGAAAGGTATTTTGGTGACTGAGGCTTTATAGATCTTTGATATTCTTTGATCATTTTGACCGTCATGTGTGTTCATTGTGAGTGACGGCACCTCCTCCGAATTGTGAGTGACGGCATCTACTCTGCCCATGGGCGGGATACGATGCGAAGAAGAACTCCAATGGTGGAAGGCTGAAGGAACTTGATCATGTCTTCGACTGGCCCTGGTGCTTCATTCGGAAACTGCCGAGGGTCCGTTGATTGATTCAATAAATTGTGAAACCGGATGGTGGGCGCTGGACTGCTGGACTTGGCCTTCCAAATTCTTGAAACTGAATGCTCCAGTCGGTAGATTCCTTCCGGTGGACATCCATGGAAATTCCATTATTGTTTTTACAAGCTTGCTTTCTTCGGGACAGTTTACAGGCCGCGTCTAAATCAAGGACACTCTGCTTAAAGAGTAACTACAGAATATCAGGGTGCTGTTTTTGCGTCTTTCTTTTTGGTATCGCGGTGGGAGCCATTCTGCTCAGCTGCCGTGGTCTCGGCATTCGTTGGCACCACCCCGATGGAGCCCCGAAGCCGCGATCTTTGTGTGGATCGATCGATCCCTTTCGGAGATGACGAAGCGATCCTTCAGCACTTCCACGAGCATGGCTTTGTGGCGCCTGGGAGAAGTGTTGTTTTTTACAATGTTTTACCTTTTGAAAGACACATCAACTTAATCCGTGTTTTGTTTTTCATGAGGACACCGGTTCATCCGTTCACTGGCGAGTTTGGATTGTGATACCTTTGTGTTTTAGCCATACTCGTATGCAGTTGGAGGTGATTAAGCAAGACTAAAGCAGCTTACCCCATTGCTTGGGTGGCCTCGTTCTTTCTTCAGATCAATATTAGCGGCGGTCAAGTGGTAGTTGATGCCTCCAAAACATGTTGATTGAGATTGGGAGAATAGAGTCGGACTGCAAACCTGTTACTTGGTAACTTGGGGTCCAAACACTTGGCAACTTGTCCAGCGAATTGAACATGGGATGCAATAGGTTGGTTTCTTGGAACGCCACCAAAGTTCCACCATCACAACTTTACCAACCACGTACATCATCATCATTAACTTGCTCCTTCCGCGGCTTTTCAGGGCCTTTTGGATTCGCCTTTCCACAGCTTTCTGAACATGGTGTAACATGACATATATTTCGGGGCCTGTTATTGCGTCATGCGGTGTTTCCTTCTAGACGTAACGCAACCTGCAAACTTGCCACTGGATCTTGGTGACAGGTGACAGGGTCTAGCGTCGTCACCCTCGTCTTCTCACCCGCCCAGGTGGTGGCAGACGTCTTCAGCGATGAAGAGATCCACCGGGCTTTGGACCGTCGTCGATGTCGTGGTCGAGGCAAACGGAGTGTTGGGACACCCGGTAGGACATGAGCAATTCCACTGCCAGCCTTTGGGTTTCAGCTCGACAGTGGAATCGTAGACGCACTGAAATGATGATTTCATGGAAGAATTATAGAACACGTGGAATGACAATTTGCCTCTAGAATCTTGGAAGATCTCTTGCCCTGTTGCGGAGCCGGTGTGCATTTTGTATGATTATTTGAGGGGTGGTATGGTACTTTATGTGCTCACAGCTGCGGCAGGCAAGCAGCTCTCAAGTCGTTGAATAACGAATTTGTCCGTGCTGTTGAATTTGATTGAGCTTGTAATTAATCCTAAACCAACGCTGATTTTGTTTGTATTCATCTTCAAGTCCCAGAATCACTAAGGGGAGTATTGCGATGGCCTCAGCCTGCCAAGAGACATCCGACTTGACCTAGTACTTTTAGATACTTTTAGAGGGGTGTCCATTTTTTGTTTGGTGCAGTAGTTCATCCCAGGCCCATTACGTACCCCGGAGTGTAGCAACGCGGTTGCTTGTAACTTGACCACGTCGCTCCAGACTTTGTAGCAGGTCTTCATTCGCTCCAAAAGTCAGCCAGTCAGCCACTGCTGGGTACTCCAAGCCAAACTATATCAAACGATGTTTCTTCTACAAGTGCTTAGATCTTCACGCAAGTGTGAACTGGGCCTTCCGTGAAACTCCAGGACGAGCTTTGGACGAGCCCTCGCTTACTCGCGAGGAATGGCAGTATCCAGCAAGGCAAGCCAGAGTCGTGGACGAAGGAGCCATTAACAGATCCACCACATTTCAGGTCCTCAGTTTTCGTCATGTTCCCTGTTCAGTTGGAGAAAATGCGGTGTGCAGTGCAGAGTTGGTTTTTAAGCGCCCAAAGAGCCAGCTGCATTCAAAACATTTGTGTCCGCATTGAGTTGATGTACCACCGGTTGTTTTCAGGAATGCAGTCAGTCTGAAAGCTAAAGGGGAGAACACAAGTAATTATTGCCAGTATTGCTATGTTCCGCTGTTCTATGATGCATACCATGGCCATCTGGGGGCATCTTCAGGCTTGCTAAACCACCAAGCTTTGACAAATCCATGTGGCGACATCCTTTGGAGGAGAATGGCTGGCCTCAACAAGACGGAGGCAAAAACTTTCTGGAATCCTTGGATCCTTTCCAGGACCAGACGAGACAACTGGGCCCGTCCGGTCTGGCGCCGGGCAGTCGCTCGTTGTGGGCAGAGCGTCCAAGGGGGGAAGAACAACAGTGATTCTGATAGGACAGCAGATGGCCAATATCGACAGGATTCACCGTTCAATTGTCAAAGCTTTCGAACATAAACCAATTCATTGCTTTTTTTTGTCTAAAGAATGTTGGATGGTTTTAATCAGTTCCTCCCAGCGAGGATTTGAGCTGCTGGGAGCTGGCACTTCACGACCGGGTGGAGCAGATCTTATCGCTTCTGTGGCGTGCGGAAGGTGACGGCTTCGACGACGGCTCTGATGAGAAGGTACATGAGTTTGGTGGATGGTCAGGGGCGGTTCATAAGCATGCACATATACTGTATACGTATTTTGTTGATTAATGAACGAAAGAAAGAAAGGAGATGTGAAGGTGGCAGATATAAGGGATTGGAGGTTTCTAGGTCGTCTCCTTGCCTTGGATGCCAGTTGGGGCATGTTGAGACTCCGGAAGAGACCACACATACCAAAAGCAGGCCTCAAAGATCCCCAAAGCCCTGCAAACAGAGAGACCATTTCCCATCCCACGTTGTTTCAGTACAGTGGGGATGCTTGGAGGTGATATGTTGTTATGATCTCCTGGCTCAGGGCATGCTTGCTTGAAAAGGTTGGTTATTCTGCCCTTAATTCTCACACTTCTAGTATGAAATCAATTACCTTTCACCTGCGTTCTTTGCCCACCTCCACCGCTGGCAGGTCGTCTTTCTGGGCCGAACGCCCCGCTGGGGTGTCATGCGCCCCAGCGGCACACGCCCAGAGTGGCGGACCTTGGAGCAGTGGCTTCATTGGGCGCCTCGCCAAGAGTCGCGGCGCGTGGCGCTTCCTCGCCTTTTTTCCGGGTTCCACTTCGAGGTGTGCGTGGAAGCGGATGCATTCTTTTTGGTTCGGAAAATGTGGGGGATGAGGGTAGTAGGGTCCGGTATAGGGTGGTCGAGGAGGTTGGGTCATGTGTTAAGTTATCACTGAAAATCCTTTGATACGACGCGGGATTCGGTGTGAATGGGGGCCGGGTTGATGAAGTCGGGTCAGTCCCTACATTCGTAGTTGGATCCATAGGGAATGTACTACAAGACTAGCTGAAGCATCAGCCAATCGTCATTTCAGGCAGTCCAAGATGTTGCTGCAGACCTACAATTTCCCCCGTACTGGCTTATGGAGGAACCTCACTTTCGAGTTTGTTGACCCAGAAGCCACCTTGCATTACTTGTCTGACCATGGTTGGGTGAACACCAATTGAACACCCAAGTCTTGGAGAGAAAACGTGCTGCTTCTTGCCGGGTGAGGATCAGAATCCATGGTCTCAGCCTGGATTTGGATGGAGGCTTTGGCTGCAGCACGTGTCTTTGAGTCCGGGTAAGAAACACAGCCATGGAGCCAAGTCACACACCCATTGGGTGAGGTTTCAAAACACTACCTGACTGAGTGATGTTTGTTGGTTCTGCTTTACCGGTTTGGGGGCCTTGGAACTGGCGTGATCAGCATGCAGAGCGGATCTCAACCATCTCGATTGAGGATCCAAGCCTTTGCTTGCATCACTCCGCAGACGTCCCAGAGTGGTGGTCTTCTTTGCGTACCAGGCGGGGCTTTGGACATGGACTGGAACGGATGAACAGGTGTTTTGCAGGTCTCCGTTCTGCTTCACATATTGCATATTAGTACTATTGCCTGTAGCAGTCGGTAAACAATTATCACTATCACTATTTTAGAGGAAGGCCTGCAACTAAACATCATCCACTGTTATAGGGAATGGGATATATGCAAGTTATGGTTAAGGGTTTGGGAGCTGTGGTTAAGGTCGCCATCAGCCACCTCTGGTCCAGAAACCATGGATGGTTGGAAAGTGTAGTGGAGCAGCTATGGTTGTGCCCGGGGGTGTACTACCATGTTCGGGAATGTACTCGAACCACTGCAGTTTGGATGCATAGGGCTGAAGAGCCAGTGTCTATATCCAGTGCACTGATATGTTGTAGGGATCAAATTACTCGTGGTTCGGTTGTCCACGTGGGTGTTGTTGTTTCCACAGATGAGGGAACCAAAAATCGCCCGGTTTGCACGGTTGCAAGCCATGTTATGTTTGCGGCCAAATGTTTGAGACATCTGAGTTCATTGTGTTTGCCCAGACGCTCCATGTAATGGTATATATGCCGATCAGGCCAGGGGTGGTTGTTTGAGGGGTCCATGTTGAGACATCTGAGTTTTGAGCTCGGCTCGAAGGAGTGAATCTTGGAGTTCGGCCGACCGTGCCGAGTGCCGCACCGATGCCGCCCAAAAGACGAGTCTGGCGGAACGGCCGAGTGCCGCAGCGAGTGCCGCACTGGTCCAGTGAACCGACTGGGTCTCAGGCTGGAGATCATGGCGAGGGTTTCATCCTGCTCGGTTCTCGCAGACTTCCTCTCCTAAGGCCAAGGCTGCCAAGATTATTTGGCCACAGACTCGATCGCAGGTGTGAAGCACTACGGCGAAGCGACGAATTCAGCCGTGTGAGGCCGCGTGAAGAGGGAGGGCCATGCATCAAGAAAAGGACGGTTCTCAAGTTTCTCAGTGGATGCCTTGGCATGAACTTGGCACAGCATGTCGTCAACTTCGCAGGTCCTGGCTGCGACGTTCAGCTAGTTGTCCTTCAGGCCAGAAGCGAGGCTCGTCAAGCTTCCACTTTAGACTTAGGAATACGGAAGATGTGGGAAGTGTGGCAACAATTGCGGCAACAAGGACTCCAGGGCCGATGCTGCGGAATCGTGCTTTGTGCAGGAACTCATCGAGTTCGCACACGCCTTCAATTCCCAGTCACGATTCAAGGGCCCCAGGATCTAGGAGCTTCCCTTGCCACTGCCGAGTGGACAATTGCTGGTGAGTATTTGGGCTTGAAGTCTGTGAAAGTGACACCTCCGGATTGCATTCGGCTCAACCTTTTTCACACCCTGCTGAAGATTCGTGTAGGGAATCTTTGGATCAAGGACTGTGAGTTTGAGGCGAAATCAAGGGTTGGAAAGGTGGGAGCACACTGCATCAAGGTCCACAAAGCTGCACGAGTGATGATGGAACATTGTAGCTTCCGGGCTTCAGATCGCGCTGCCGTAGACGTACGCAGTCATCAGGTGAGCATCATGGAGTGCCAGTTTAAGGACTGTATAGCGGCCATAGACTCTTGGTTTTACTGTTTTCACGTGTTTCTTTGTGTTGTTCTTCCATTTATATAAGTGAAACTTGTTTTGGGGGCATTCAGGACAAAGACTGCTTAATCGTCGAGCAAGCCACTTTTATTGCAAGACGTGCAAGATGGCGCTAAGGACTGTGGCCTGAGCCAGCAGATTCAAGAAATGAGGTACAAGAAAATGCCAAATGTCAAGCTTGTGAGCTCACAATTTGAAGATGTTGGGGTGCGAAAACAAGAAATCGAAGAGGACGACATCAAACCAGTTGTTTTGGTGCGAAAGCAGTTTGCACACGCGCTTGTTCAACGGTGTAGCTTTCGAAATGTCAATGATGCCATTGCTACTACTTGCAAAAGTTGCATCGTGTCCAACTCTTTTTCTGTGGCCAACACTGCCATTTGGGTGTCTCATGGCAATCATGGTGAAGATTCACATTGTTCCTCTGAGATTTTGAAGAATACGCTTGATTGCTGCGACACTGGAATCCTTATCACTCGTATTCCACAAGTGCTGGTGGAGCAGAATCAAGTCGAGAATTTCCGCCGTGCCATTGTCTTGCTACATTTAAAATACGCATCCCGCGTGGAAGCCAACGCAATCCAAAATGGCAAAGGCACAGGAATCAGTGTGCTGGACTCTCCGGCACAATTGATTTCCAATACCCTCACAAGGCCAGGATTGAAAGGCATCATTTTCGAAGGAGAGGGCCGCCAAATGCCAGAGTTCGCGGTCACGGATGCTTAGTTCGCAGCTCATTGTATGGTTTGGTCAGCAGTTATTTTCAAGACACTTAAGATTATATATGGAGTTATTTAGGTTGGCTTGGCACACGTGTCTAGAATTTCAACCTAAAATCGTTAAGAACTCTGGTTTGAGCCTGGCCTATTGCCTGAGGACAATCATATCAGTGGAGCAGGCTCATCAGGCATTGAGGTCATCGGAAAGTCTCGGGTTTGGAATCCCAACGGGGCAGCTGTGCCATCAGAGTTTGCAGCAATTTGTCGAGGAGAAATGTGCCCAGAGGACATCAGTATTGAGGCAGGTCAGGTGATTGGGAACATTGCAAACAACAGGATCCTTGGCAATGGCCGTGGGGTGTTGTTGCAAGATGTTCCTGCCATCATCGAGGGCAATACCTTGGCAGCGAACAATGGTTGGTCTATCCACATGGATTTGCGATTTCTCGGACGCCCGGAGCACCGCAGCGCCATGGTGGGGAACACGGTGGTGGCCATGAAAAACAAGAAAGGGCAGACGGTGCCAGACCGAAGCATACGCCTTAGTATGCCGGAGCCGGGCTGTAGCTTCTTTCCGGGTGTCCTCCCGAAGATCTCGGAGAATCTTCAGGAGAACGGACACGAACTGTTGCCCCTGGTCAAGCGCAGGCGGTTGGAGTGACTGTTCGTAGTATGACAAACAAGGCGTTGCTGAGCATTTGGCTTGCGGTGAAGTGAGGGTGCACTTTTACTCCTACCAGGGAATGCGGCAACGCGCAAGTACTGCAAGAATTGCATAGGGGCCCCAGCGCTGCCCCCCCACCCGTGAATTGAAGCTAGCATGGGCAGAAGATGAAGAGTTCACCAGCCGTCAATTTCCATCGGTTGCCTTTGGTTGCATGATTTAGTTTCGATGTTTGCTGTCCCTGTTCGTTGTCCGCACTAGACGACTCGTTATGCCTCCAACCCGGAGCCCTCAGCTCCTTCCAGGCTTCCAGAAGCACTGGAGTCGATGGGGCGAAGAACATCCGGAAGGAACTGTCAAGGCCGTTGCTTCATTGTTTCAGACTTCCAGTTGCACGTCTTCCTCGAAAGTCACTAGTCCCACCTCTCAACCTGCCCTGCCTAGGGAGCCCGGTTTCTTTCGAGAATCCATTTGGCCACCGGGGTATCGCCTGCCGCCAGGTGGATGGAAAGGAGATCACTCGCGCCTTTGGTGCGGGCAACCCCTTCCCTGTGCCCCCTGGAGATGCGGCGCACGAGGGCACCGTGCGGATTCTGGCGCCCAAGGGATCGGTGGTTCTGTGGGATAGCCGACGCTTGGTGGAGCAGGTTATGAGCATGAGCCATGGCATGTTGCACTGAGTGGACTCCTCCGGTATATGCTCTATATATAGTCTTGTTCAATTGTTGATTGTTGATCATTCTTGTTTTTTTGTACCCTAGGTATCCCTAGGTCCTACTTAACAAACATGTCTAAAGTATCTTTTTAGTCAGCTGGACTGAGGCTTGCCGCATCAGAACTTTCCGAACAGCAGTGACCATGAGCAGCTTGTCTCGAACTTTTATGGCTGGGGAAGGCTGGGGAATCGATTCTCCAGTTTGTTCAACATCGGTTTTGGCCAACACAGGGGAGCGGCCAAGATTTGCTTTGATTTTTGCAACAACGGACGAACAAGTGGCTGGTGTGTTTCTGTGTGTGTTTTCTGTAACACACCACGAGTTTGGCAAACGAACCCATGCGATTTGTGGAACATCTCAGGTGGCGTGTCATCCTTTACATGAGTTTTTGGCCCTTTGAAAAGGAGACCTATCAGGAGCAGAGACATCCAACTTAAAGTCTGTGGGACCTCGATCGGTGGATTTCTATCTTGAGAGATTCAATTGTATAATTTGTCTAGATTCTGATCTGGCAGAATATATTTGGAATGTGCTGTAGATATCTGTAGATACTCAATTCGAGCCATGAGAATCATGAGAACATAGAAAATTGTTCAACATCACCACGTGACGTTGGGTGCTGTGGAGGCTCCCTTTCCCAAGGTCCAGTGACGTCCAGTGGCGCTGTGCCTGTATGAAATCGGTTCCAGAAGAAGACACTGCATTCCCCAAGGGTCCCTCAGTCAGACACTGCAGTCCTCCCACAGTCGTGGCACCGGAGGGTCTTCCGCCTCACTTGGGATCGACCCAGTCCTTCCTCGCCAGGAGCGTCAGTCCTTCCTGGCCCAGCGCCTTCGTGTCATGGAGGCGCTGGGCCACGCAAGCAGCGGAGCGCTGCCGCGCTGGGCGGTCTCCGCTGCGGAGGCAGCGGCGGAGCTGTCCGCCGAAGCAGTGGAGGTGTGGAGAAGTGACAAATCCTGCGGCTAGTCCTGCGGCTAATTTTTGGGGAGATCATTACCACTAATTATCATTCCAGCGGTGAATAGTTGGTGATGAAAAACAACTGTTGTTTTTTTTTAGAGCAGCAGTCGAATTGGTCACTCTCCGAATGTTGAGACGCCCGCCCACTTCCTTCGCTTTGATATGCTCGCATCAGCAAGACAAAAAAAATCTTGACCAGGTTCTTATGTAGGCTGCTGGCTAGTCCATAGTTATTAATGAAGCGTAAACACAAAGTTCTTATATATGTTCTTACTGAATCATCTTAGGCAGGTGATGATACAAGATTGTCTATGATACAAGATTGTCAGTAAGAACGTATAAGACACAAGGTGTTCTTATAAGTTCTTATTGTTGACGGCTGATTGCCCTTTCTCTATATGGCAGGTGTTTTTTCGGCCGTGTGAACCCCCACCAGACCACTGGACCACTGCAGTTTCAGTGAACCTGTCCGTTGGCTACACGGTATGTGGTAGTGGGTGGGCCCCTGGTGACTGGTACGGTCCCTCAGGGCGGGGGGTGGAATCCCTTTTCATCCAAAGTGGGACGTCGTGAGGTTGGGTATTTATTCTGGTCAAACTGAAGGAGTTCAACAAAGACTTTACGAGACGAGTTTTCTTCCACATTGCAGTTGAGCTTGGAAACAATTCTGCCATGCGGGAGGCCATTCGTTTGACGCATGCAGCGGGGGAAGCTGAAATGAAAGGAGAACTGGAGAAGTCCACAGAGATGATGAGACGCGCGATGAAGCTCCTTGGACAGATCAGTATACAGTAAGAGATTCAGAAATCACATGAATAGTAGGGAGTTCAATCTGAGTTAACCTTGGCCTACAGATGGACAGCGTGGAGGTGAGAAATGGTCACCCCCAAAAGAGATTGAATTCTTCCCCCAGTCCCCACTTGGGAACTGGGCCCAACTATCAAAAGAACTGGCGATGTGAATGTTTGTCCCACTCTCTATTGCCCAATTTCTGGCGAGATCTGACTTTTGTTGCTCAGGATGTGGCCGCAAGTTGAAGCCTGGTACGAGGCCATTTTTATTTGAGTGTGGGTCAGAATCCCATGAATAGCTACACTAGGGGCCTTATTTGTCGAAGGGTACATGCCAAAAGGAAAAACATTGAATGTCGACTACAACCTGTGTCTTATTGGTGTGTATTTTGACCCCACGACAACCCTGTTTTGGATGTCAGTGCTTCCCATCGAAAGCTGTGACACTGCACCAGCTTCCGCAAAAAGAGGGACCATGACTCATGACAGATCAAGGTGGCGTTTGGGAAGCTGGGGCAAGGCTGTACAGATGATCCACACTTGTGCAGCATGTATGTTGCAGTGTACAGTTGTGTTGCCAAGAATGCGGAAAAAGGGGAGAGAGAGGGGTAGTGATCGTAGAGATGGAGTTCATGAGAGGGATTGGACGAAAGATATGTCAAAGCCCCTCCACGAAGGTCCCATGGGCAGATACTGACTGGTTCAGTCTGGTTCGGTCTGGTCATATTGGTCCTAAATGAACAGACAGAGTCTCAATTAGACAGTGGCTAGGATCCTCCATCGTTAGATCATTTTATTCTGCGAATGTTGCACAGACATTGTGACGCCCGTTCAATCTAGTTGATCACTTGAGCGGGTGGCAACATAAGATGCCTTTGCGAAAGGCAAACAGAGAGTGGCGAAAGATCTGTGATATACTATTTGTTTTTTCGGACACTTCGCAGGAATGCAAGCTTGCTAAAAGCTTCTTTTTTAGTCTTTACTTCCAAAGTCTTACAGGTGCAGTGTAATCTTCTTGCACGGAATGCACTGCATTCCAAACCAGCCTCGCGCCCTATCATGGCACATCCACTCAAATAGCGGATGCCAGCCCGACACAGGGGCAACGGGATTTGGTCAGCAATGGGAAGTGTTGCTCAAATCTCAAACCTGTAAGCTTTGTGCGTTTATCCAACATAGAGGGCCAAGAAGGAAAATGGCTCAACACCGTCGGCAACCAAAAACACTCTTTTGGGGGCACAGACCGAGCCCTATGAACTGATTTTTCTGCAGAGCAGTGACCCAAAAGTCCAGGAGCTGCAAGACCATCTCACCGTGGGCGAATTGGCACGGCAGATCAGTAGCTCTGACAGAACGAAGTTGGGTGCGGCCTTCCCCGGTGGTCAAAGCGGGTCAAAGCGGGTCAGAGCCACCCATGAGGTGTGTTCTCAAGATGCTTTAAGTTGAGAAAATGCAAGACCATGAGAGACATTTATCAGAAACTTCATGACATGGTTTCTGTTGATTTGATGTTCCCTGGCGGTGGAATCCCGACCTGACGTTGAAGCTGTCCCTCAGGCCATGATCACCAATATGGATTTGGGGTGATTGAAGATTGAACGTTTCATCAAAGGGACCACCATGTAATGGAGGCAGGATGAACATATGGATCGATATGAAGAGTTGTCTCTGAAAATCGGTTCGCCTGCCCAGGCGATATACATTGAGCCGCTCCCTTCCCACAAATACACATCTCTTATAGATCTGACTGCAAAGCCACACGTTTCCACATCCAGTCATGTGGACACAGGTTCCTTTCTTGGGGTACCGCCGGGTACCGCTGCAACCCTTTTCAGCGGCGGCGTGCCGAGTGGCTGCTCAGGTGCCTTGCCACCCTGTGCGGCACAGCTCACCTTGCGAGAAGCCGCACAGCTCTTGCTGTCTTCAGGTCCCAGACCGATCGATCGAGGGGAACGTGGGAGGCTGACGTCCGCTGTTTCGATGTTCTCAAGCTACATGCGGAGGCTGTAAGACACCCTATCTTTTGCAGGAGAAACATGCGTCTAGCACCATGACAAGAGCCGAACTAAGAGGGAACATGAAACCTTCTCCGCCCCCTCAGAGCGGCGCAAATCATCTCAAATCCCAAAGACATCCAAAGACTGTTATTCACAGCCCCATTAAAAGGGCTGTCAGTGAACCACTCCGACAGTGGGTCCCTGGTGTAAACCACCACGGCCAAACGTCTCGCCGTTCGAGTCGACTTGCGAAACCTGCACCCGCCACGAGACCTGCGCCAGGTCAAGCGGCGGGCTGCGTCGTGGATGAGCCGCTCGTCCGGTGCCTTCTTCCGTCCGTGGTTCCTTCGATGGTTCACCCTTTTGGGGTTCGTTGGAAGATGTAGGAAATCTGGGTCAGACGCGGTCAGACAAACATCCCCGGGTGGAAGACCGGATTGAAGACGCAGAAAGCACCAGGGAGATAGCTTGACCGGATATGACAGGTTTCCCGACTGGCACGGGATGAAAGGATGAAAGAACACGGGGGCGCGGGGGGTTGGAAGTTTTTGCATAAACATGCTTTAGTTGATGAAGGTGAAACACCCAAAGAACAGTTTGGGTGTTGTGTGGACCTTTAGCAGTTCGACTTTGTTTCTGACCTTTGAGACCAGAAAACAATTTGAAATTCAGGTGCCCCATGATACTTTACAGTTTTGGATGTGCGATTATATATGTGTAAAGAGCATTCCGGCAGTCCTTTAGTCAAAGCACATCACCTAAAATCATCCATTACATTTTCTCCTGAAATTTGGTATGTACGTAGTGCGTTGGTGCTTCTGCTTTGAGAAGCTTTTTGTTTTTGTTAAACCCAGTTCCACTAAATCCCTAATGATCCATTTCCAACGGTTCATTTGAGGGCTCTTTTGAGGTAGCTGGCATCGTTCAGATTGTCCTGATACACTGTTTTCTATGATCCTCCATCATTGCAAAAACCCATGCTTTTCACCCCAACCTAGTTTCAATTTGAGAAGTGTGCTGAGAGCCCAGTTACCTCAGGGATGTTCACAGTGACATACATGTACTTATGTAATGTAGTTACCATCGATTCAACATATCTGGGGTATCTCAGCGTTCCTCTTCGATGCTCCATGGACAGCTGGTTTGCAGAGTCGAGGAGCGGTGTGCCGGTGGGCGTCATTACAGAAGATGACATCCTCCAGAGCCCTTTGGAAGCATGCGCAGAGCGCAGGTCAGACGTGCCCGTGACGTGCCCCTGAAGAAAGTGCATGTTCTTAAGGCAATGATCATGATGATCAGCTTAATCTCGAAGAAACAACATGCATCCCAAGATGGCCTGATCTACAATCCATATCTTCCTCAAGTAGATTGGACCAATTGTTTTGAACTTAATACCAATATATGTCGCATTGTGGCCGTTCTCCTGCTACTATATTTGTCAGAGTCTTGCTAGAATGATGACATCAATCAACAAAAGCATGAACTGTTGCTCCTTCCAACCGCTTGTCTTTCGTTGTGTCCAGCGAGCCGCCGTGTCATTCCGCCGCTGTGAGGCTATGTGCAGGGTGCCCCTTGGAACACCACCGTTGGCGAGTGGTTGCGCGGAGGCGGTCCCTGTTGGAGTGATGCCAGACACCTGTTCACCGTTGGAGTTGGGTTGCCAATTTACACCTTTACACACCTTACAGCAGAACTTCTGCAAAGCAATGATACAAACTGGAATGTTTGGAAGAAACTGGACATGGGCCCATGGGCTGTGCTTGTTTTCCATGTTCGGTGGTTCAGTCCACCGCTTTTTCCACGAGGCGGCGGCGCCCTCTTCGGCGAGCAGCGGGGCAGTCCCACTGCGCGGGTGGAGTCAGAACAGCCGGGGCCAACTCAGTTCGGAACCGGCGAAAGGTTGGACGATCCCAACGGGTTCAACAGGGTTCGGCCTGTTTCAAGAGGGTTCGGTCCTGTTTCAACAAGAGTTCGTGTTGCTTCTCTCACCATGATGAGGTAAATGTAATTCAACAACATGTTAGCAAGACACAGCCACGTAGCCAGGACTTTCACATCCTCCACCGAGCCTGCCATCCGCCACCTGCCACCCTGCCACTGCGCGTGTGAGGCCGGTCCAGTCCGCGCTGCCGGGGCTCCTGTGTCACCGCTCGCCCTTGCGCCGTGGGCGCTCGGCGCTGCTGGTGGAGCGGCAAGGGAACTACGCCGGTGGCGTGTCGCCTGGCCGGTGGAGTTGGGGCTTTCGATCAGGTGAATCAGTTTCGTTTTGCTTTATAGTTGTGATGTTGTGTGTCTCCGCAACTCCACTTCCATTGCACTCCACTTCCATGTCATCTTACCTCATCTCACCTCGGTGCCATCAAGGCTTTCCACCTTTGACATCGTCCAAGCTTTGGCGCAGCGCGCCGGAGAGAACTTGGCAGAAGCCTTGAGGCAACCAGCCGAACTCCAAACGCTCAGACAAGCAGGGCTAAGCAGCGCTATGCAGGGAAGTAGTTAGACTGCTGCTTGTATGCATCGCTCGTTCATAGGTTCCAACCAGTGGCAGATTTTGTTTAAACTGCAGTAACAAACACACTCAGACTGTAATATAGTGTAATTGGGCTTCCTTTTTCTTGGTGGGTGGTTCATTTTGTATGGGTTGAAGCACTAGATACCTGTGCTCCATTGAGACACCTCGCAGCACTGGCAGCTGATGTTTGTTCTTTTGTGCAGGGACTTCAGAACAGAACTGGAGATGAATTCATTACAGTAAGTACAATGTTTGTTTCCTTCCCAGATGCTGCTCCATGTATGCCGTATATGCCTACATTGGGATGGTTTGGGGGTCAATGTAAGCATATATGACAGACATGGATTCTCTGGGTTTGGTGCTCTTACCCTCCAAACAGGAGATTTTTTACATCCCGTTGGCCGTTGGCGACTCCGCTTCGCACCGACGCAGGGCGAGCACCGTAGCTGACATCATGGAGCCCATTGAGCAGGCGTTTAGAGCCTTAGAAAGGGGCCTCGAGTTGGAGAGCTTGTATTTTGGAGATGGTCTTTCTTGTCCCCAGTTAAACCGATTGTTTCAGTACTGAAACAACGCAAGTGTCATAGTTTGAAGGCGTCCACGATTCTTCTTTCTGACTTTGGATGTGAATCCCACGGGCCCCTTGTTTGCCTCAGATGAACCTTTTGTTCCATCCCAGTCACTTGGTTGAGTCAGTTGGCTACCGGTTCAAGTGTGCCCTTTGTGGCAAACATGGCCCATTTGGACATTTGATTTTCAAGCCTAGTTGGCGAAAGCCGTGCAAGGCAGGCTCG